GGGAAAGATCCTCAAAACGGGTAGTTAGTTGGATTCTTTCTTTTTCTCTCTTTTGTTTTTGTTGGTTTTTTTTTGATTCTTTGACTCTCCAATTATTTGATGGGCTTGCTTTTTGAGTTTGCTGTTATAGTGGAGGCAAGAAACTAAGATATCTGATGGGACAAGAGTGAGATGGGGTTTGGCTTTGTTAAACAATACACGCAACGAGGTTTTATTCCCCTATTTGGAGTGTTGGATTTGTTGGGTTTTCTTCTTCGCAGGAATTGCTGAGCATATACTGGACATGGCTGTTCTTACTTTGTTTCTTGAACTGTTTTATGTCGTAGACGGAGTCCCTCCTTATCACCTATCTCCTCTATTCATACGCGGCTTACTTCATCATTCCCCGTTGTCGTCATCCACCTTCACGGACCTTCCCCCAAGAAAATTTTTGCTGTTCACACCCGCCATGAGTCACTTTGTATGAAACGCGGGTGATGGGTGATGTCGCAGCTGGTTCCAATAACACACGACATGAAGTTTATGACTACACAGTCCATGGAGTCTTGCAATGATTTCCAGTTTTTCTAGGAAAAATTAAAAAAGAACGAAACTGGAGGAGACTGTATAATCCTTCGGCAGGAAAAGAAGTCATCTGAAGTATATACATTAAAACAACCCCTCAAGGGGTCGACACGCAATCTGATACGCGCCAGGCGTTTTCAATTATCAGACGGACGATGTTAGGGTAATAAAAGTAGGGTTAGCTGAACCGGCATATATATTGCGTACTCACGTTATAGCAAAGTAGTATTACTTTAACATACTAGATCTCGCCGGGGGTTTTTAACTTGAAGTGATTATAATACTTTATAGTTTTATGTGAGTATATTAATTTGGGGTATACAGCTATTTTTTTTTAAAAGACGATTGCTGACGACTGTGACGTCGAGTTATCTGTTAGAGGATTTTTTGATATTGTTTTCTCTAAAATCAAAGAAATAAGGTCCATCATAACGCTTTGAAAGTAAATAAACACCAAAAAGAAAATATTATCACGAAATAGATAGTGGTAAACGTTCTTTTTTTTCCAATGAAAGAATCCGTCGTCGGTTTAACTTTGTTTCCTGGCAGGCAACTATACAATCCAAACGACGGAATTAGGATAAAGTATTGAAAATACAGCAAGTCTCTGGGTAAATTTTTCACTGAAAATAATCGATGCTTGGCTGTAACAACAAAACCCTTTAGGCGTTAAAAATGCAGATATATATGCCCCAATAGTTTTCAGTCATTTCTTTCAGTGGCTTCAGCACGTGTTTTTGGTCAACCACAAATGAAAAAAAGAAACAACCCTTTCAAAAACACGTCTAAAAAAATCACGTAACAAACAAATTCGGACACTTAGGTTATAGAGTCGCGACAACCATTATCGAGTTGGGTTTCCAAACCAAACACGATAATAATATACACGATCAACACCCTTACAAAGAATTTCGAAAAAATTCTTACCCCCATCGAAAAAAAAGTCACCTCAGAACTTTTGCTAACCTTACTACTTTCTGTACTTATACGACCAGATTTCCACCTTTTTCAACAAGCTGCTATGGCGCAATTGGCTAGCGCGTTCGGCTGTTACTTTTCCCAGGGAAAAAGAGATAACCGAGAGGTTGGTGGTTCAAGCCCACCTAGCAGCGGGGTATACGGGGTATCTACAACCCACCTAGCAGCTGGGTACTACAATTGATAATTTTGTCCGGAGAGTTATTTATAATTGCGTCTTTGTTCCGCGGTGATTTCTTCATTTTTCTTTGCTGATACTGCTGTGTGGTAAAACTTTTGTTTCTCCCTTCGCCGAGCGAGATCAAGTTAGTGAGTTGAACGGGAATTTCGTGTAAAGCGACGGAACAATAATTAATGTCAATTCGCCGGCGCGGCTTTCTCCGTTGTTTATTCCAGATGGTGACGCGTTCTGTATCGTTGCTGCTGAGTTGCATAACGGAAATGGTCAGTGGAAGGTGAGGAGAGGTTAAAATTTTCATGGAGAGGAGAAGTGTCGCAGTCGCGCAGTTTATGGTTTTACCGAGTTTTATGGTTTTTAATGCTACCTTGCCACTCTTGTTTCAAGCCGCGTTGTCTTGCCAACGCAAAGCGAACCACGTCAAAAAAAATTTGAAAGTTTGTAACTGGAAAACACGGAGCTGGTCCGTGATCGGGCTATAAATAGTAACATAGAATCCCATAATATCCCTCCCTCGTCCTAACACTCCCCAGTACCCTCTAACAATAGGAAAGAAAAAAACTATCTAAAATATATGCTCTCAGCCAGTCACACCACTACAATGACCACCACAACCACAACCTCACCCACATCTCTCCGAATCGCAATCATCGGGGCGGGTCCAGCAGGTCTCTGTCTGGCCCGCATCCTCCAAAAAAACTCCTTCACCAGTGTCACAATTTACGAATCCGACGCTTCCCCAACCTCCCGACCCCAAGGCGGCACTCTAGATCTCAAATCCGAATCAGGCCAATACGCACTCAAAGTTGCAGGATTGATTGATAGGTTTAAACAATTATGTAGACCTGAAGGTGAAGATTTTAGAATTGTTGGGAAAGATGGGAAAGTTTTCTTTGAGGAGGTTGGGAATGGATCTGGGAATAGTTATAATCCTGAGATTGATAGAAAGGATTTGAGAGATTTGTTGTTGGGTTCGTTACAGGAGGGTGCTATATTATGGGGAAAACATGTTGTGAAGATTGAAACTGGTGCAAAAGACGGTAACAATGTCGACTGTGTGAAAGTTCATTTCAATGATGGTGCTATCGTTGATGCTGACCTCGTTGTTGGAGCCGATGGAGCATGGTCAAAAACTCGATTGGCATTATCCGATGTGAAACCGGAATACAGTGGAGTTACTTTTGTTGATTGTATCATCAACGGAAACGACGCACCAAAGGAAATTGGCGATACGGTTGGTAGAGGTACTTTTATGGCTCTTGGAGACAACAAAGGGATCATTGCACAACGAAACGGTAACAACGTTATCAGAATCTATGCAGCCCTCAAAGTTGCTGAATCTTACGCCTCCGAATCGGATGTTGGTAAACTTACGGGTACGCAACGAATGAATGCTGTTATTGCTCAATATCCAAACTGGGATTCGAAACTGGTGGATTTAATTCGACACGCGGATCCAAGTTCGTCCATTATTCGTCAAATTTATGCGTTACCTGTTGGATTTAAATGGAATCATGTCAAAGGTGTTACCCTTGTCGGTGATGCCGCACATCTCATGTCACCATTTGCTGGTGAAGGTGTCAACATGGCTCTCGCGGATTCGGCTGACTTGGCTTTGTCAATCATAAAGGACGTTAAAAATGTTGATAAAGCTGTTTTGAAATATGAATTGAATATGTATGAGAGGTCGGTGGAAGCTACGAGAGAAACGAAGGAGAATTTGGAGATCTTTTTTGAGGATGGGGCTCCTGAGGGGTTTGTTAGGGCTATGAAGGCTCATTGGAGTATTGGTGGGATTGCTAAAGCTGTTGGTGGGTATTTTGGGAGGATGGTTAGGAGTAAATATAGGGATTTGGTCATGTAGTGATTTTTTTTTTTTTACTTTTAATGTCTTCTTCTCACTTGTTTTAGTGTATAACTTTATTTCTCTTTCTTCTCTTCAACAACTCTGATTTCTGCTTCGTTTTTGGTTTTCTTTTTACTTGTCGAGGGGAGTTCCTTTCATTTAGGTAGCTTTTTTTGTTCGTATCCATCCATCATTGTTTCTATAATGATATACACGTCCATTTTAAATATCTTGTGTATAATAAAGTAAAGAACAAATAAACTTTCCGAACGAGTTTTGGATATTCCATGTTGCAACTGTACTATAGACAATTCAAATTATTTTGTTGAAGTAGTGAATTTGTCTGCTGCCTTATCACTTGGAGGTGGTTGCAAACCTCACTTGCCAGTTTCTTCCCCATGAAAGACCCTGACCATGTCACGCATGATCATCACCACCTTCCCTTCAAGGATCTATAAACATCGTTTACTCGGCAAGAAGCTTCCGATCATCATTACCAAACATGCAGGCCCCTCACATGGTTTCTAACAGATCTGCTCACGGATGAAGAGACTGCCAAAGCACGGTGTGGACATCTGGAATCAAGCTTTCATGACCAACTGGGATGGGGATCTGGCACTTCTTCCAATCAACCATCTCCCAGATGTCAAAACAAGTCTCGACATTATTACTTTACGAACTCATTATAAACAACTTTGCGAACTTCGACCGGATCTTTGTAAACTGGATTTCATTCAGAACTTTTACGATGACGGGCTTTTGTGGGGTACAGTCTCGACCAAAATGATGACCATTGTCTTGCCAGAAGGTACCTTTCCGACAACTACTTGAAGGACATTGAAAAGCTTTTGATCAATATACCATTACGACATGGTTGGTATGCTGAAATCCCGGACTCTCTGTTAAATGAAAAAGTCAAGCTCATCACGCTCGCGGCTTGGCTGGGTCACTCTACAGTCGTTCAATCGCTTTTACAAGACTTGCCCATCGACACACCAAAACTGGCGGAGGCCGCGACAATCAGTTTGAATTACGCCGCTACGGAGGGATATTCGATCGGAATGTAGCTCTGGTTAAAGCTTGTAAGCATGGTCACTTAACCGTAGTACAGCAACTACTTGCCGACGGGAGAGTGAACGTATTCGGTAATGCAATTAAACTCCCAATAATGGAGGCTTGTGAATCAGGTCATCTTGATGTTGCCAAGTTTCTCCTTTCGACGCATGGTGTGCATCGCAACGGAGCTATTTCCCTAGGGTTTCCCATCGCCGCCGAAAATGGTCACGTATTTTCTGTTAGATTTCGACTCACTTTTCCACCCAAGTTACGCAACCTATCTCAAGAATACTGCGATTGGACAAGCGGCTGAAAATGGACATTGCGAAGTAGTGAAATTGCTCTTGAAGGTGGAGGGTGTGAATGTAGCAGCGCATGAGAATTTTGCATTTCGTGCGGCAGCGGCAAATGGTTATGTTGACGTTTTGAAAATTATAATTGGGGTTAAAGGATTTGATGTACCTGAATGTATTCAAAAGAGCATGGAAGCGGCAGCTCAAAAGGGTCACTTGCATGTGGTCAAGTTTTTGACGACATTGGATGGTGTGGAATTTGATGTCAACAAGGCCATGCTGGCGGCAGCGGATTTTGGGCATGCAGATTTGGTGAAGTATTTTATAGCGGAGAAAGGAGCAGATATAAGTGCAGATGACTATTTAGCCTTATACCAAGCTGTGATACATAGGTATTTTGAGGTCGTGACAGTTGCTACTGGAGTTTGATGTGGAGGGTGATGAGAGTTTTTTACGAAATGAACGCAAAGTTGACGGCTTTGGGTGGTGCGGCGATACCTGAAATGATGAAGTTGTTGGTGGATAATCCATGGGTGAATGCATGGGCTAGAATATTATTATTGGCAGTTAACTTTGGGGGAAGGATGGAACCTGTTGAATGGCTGCTTGCGTGAGGCCGCTATGATAGTGTTGGTCTTAGATGGTCTTTTATCTCAGCGGCTGGTCAAGGGCATCTGGAGATAGTCCTGTTGCTGTTGAGAGCCAACGGGATTATTGATCGTGATGTTGACGTTGAATGTGCTTTGGGGGGCGCGGCTATCCACGGGCATGTTGACTTGGTGAGATGGGTTCGCGGGAGTTCAAGGGATTGGACTTGCCGGAGATTGTTCCCTTAGAAGCATTTGTGTTTGAGCACATTCGACCGAAGTTACGCAAATGGTTGAGGACGAGACTTCGGGAGGTTGTCGTGTAATTTGATCTCACTTTTCCATGGGTTCCAATTTATTTTTTTTGTTTCTTCTTTTCTCTGTTAGTGGAATAAGAAGACTCATTGATACTTTTGTACCTTCAATGAGTAATAATTCTTGATTTTTTTTTCTTCAAAATGAATTGGCTGAACCAAAAAACCCTTCTTATTTCTACTATTTTTCGTATCTTTTCTTGTAGAGTTCCTATAGTCTAGGGAGTTCTTTTTGGTTTCATTCACGAACTATTGTTTTATTCCTCACTTGTTTTAGTGTATAACTTTAATTTTTTTCTGTACCATAATTCTTATATTGTATTAGTTATCTGAGTTGTCTGCTTACTTTCTGAAGGGATCCTTCAGGCTGTTCATTCCAGTTCATTCATCTATCGTGTTTCTACAATAATATCACGTCTCTTTTCTTCAATTTTAAATAACAAGTGTTTAGACAAAAAAAAATACAGGCTAAAATAGCAAATGTACGACATCCTAGCGGGTTGGAAATACATCTACTGCTTTCATTCATCAACTGTTGTTTCTCTCATAATATCGGGTCTCCTTACTTCCATTTGAAATATCTTGTGTATGGTAAGAAAATAAAGGCTACTATAGCAAATGTTACTCCATCCTAGCCTGTTGGAAATATGTGATTTCGAACGAATACGTTGGCATCCGTATGCAGTTCCATTGGGTGTTGCGGTTTTTTGGTTTCCAAGGCGAAACAAACGATGAAATGAAGTCCAATCAAATCTGCAAGTTTTTATTCTTTTTTTTTTTTTTTCAAACTCAGCTGTCCTTTACCCACAACCATGTCAGGCAGCATCAGCACTTTCCCATCAAGACTCTCCAAACACCGT